ACCGGGCAGCGAAAATGGCCGCCGTATGGAGGATTTTCGCTTAAAGGTAAGTTTTTTGCCCATAGGAACGCATTGAAGGAGTTTCAATGAATTCATATGGGCTTTTAAAAATCGCTTAGTGATGTTTTCGGTTAGCGGTGATTTTTGCTGCACCGATTAACATCGCTAAGCAAGGCACCACTGTATGTTCTTTATTTTATATATGGTGCTCCCTTTGTATATTTGTAAATTTTATGTTGGCAAATAAAAAATTTATATGAAAAAAAGAGAACCGTACCAGCCCTGAAACTGGCATGTTATTTTACTTTTCACTGGAAGCAATGGGAGGGAAAATAGGAAAGGTTAGCCCTGCCTAACCAAGAAAAACATATATTTAACCATCACCACCACTTCCCTATTGGGGCTGGTTTGCAATCAGCAAAGTTTTCAATCTGATAGTTCTTCTTTTAAAGGATCCCCTTCTGCAATTGGATTTAATTCTTTTCCTGTCATGTCATCTGCAAGTGTTAACAAAAGCAGGTATGTCACTATAAACAAAGTCACCAGTTTTTGGCATTCCAGCACAGAGGGCCTTCTCGTGGCACCTTATAGTTGTGGAGAAGTTTGTCTAAGGCTGGAATCTTTTGCATCTTAGGCCTTTTTTAAAAGCCTGCATTTTAAGCATTCTGAAGTAATTCTACATACTAGATAATCTGATTTCATTATATGTGACAAAATTTATAATCACATTTATAACCAACACCCAGAATCCAGCATCTTCAAGACTGTTGTTTGATGATGTATTTTTAAATTGTATCCTGTGTCACACAAAGAATAACAATATTCATATTATATAAATACGATAAATAACTAAAATCAACAAAATATGTACTGTAAACACACATATAAAGTTGCTTTTATGTGGATAACTTTGGGTGAATGATAGCAATTAGAACATCCAAAATGTACCTCTGCTTACGGAATTAATCCGTATTGGAACGGTGGCTGCAGGTAGAAAAGTCTGTAGGTCGAGTCTCCATTGACCTATAATGCATTGAAAACCAATTAATCCCATAACCGGCTGTTTTTGTTCCATTTTGGTTTTTCCCCAGTCTGTAGATTCGATTCTCCGGCTGCAAGTCGAACCTAAATTTTGCGGCCAGAGAAGTCTGTAACTCGAAAAGTCTGTAAGTCGAGCCGTCTGTAAGTCGAGGGTCCACTGTAAAAATAAGAATCTGCTTGTTAGTTTTCATGTTAATAATAAAGATCCTAGTAAAAATAGTTTAAATCTTAGGAGAAGATTATTCAGAGATAATAGAAACTTAGCCAGTGTGATACTAACATTTCCCATGTATGTGTTATTTAAGCGTTTGGAAGTGCATTCAAAGCATTTCTAAATATCCAAAATATTTCAATCAATGGGTTCAATCCCAAGTCTGTACTTTAACCCCGTTTGTTGGTAAACTGAGATTTTTTCTTTTTTACCTCAGCTTTTTTACTGAATGAGCCTTACAAGAGATGGGCACGAACCACTGGTTTAATGGTTTGGTGCGGTTTGTTTCCCAGCTGAGCAGCTGATTTGCAGTTTGGTGCCCAGCCACCTCCAGCAGGTGCCGATCCAGCAGCAACAGCCTGCCCCGCCTCCTCTGGGTGCTGCTGCTGAATGGGTGCCCACTAGAGTAGGCAGAGTGCTGAACCACAGATCAGCTGTTCAGCCAGGCAATGACCTATGCTGACTTGCAGAACCACTGGTTTGTGCCCATCTCTAATCCTAATCACTCGGGAATTAAGTTGGGACTGTAGTTTTGTCACAGTACTATGTAGTCAATTACTTTTGCATACACAACTGTCAACCTGGAGGTAGGCGTTGCATCATGGACCCTCCCATTTTGAAGAGACCTTTGTCCAGCAGGCTGAGGCAAAGAGGAAGTCACAAAAGCAGCAAAATCAGGGAGCTGGACAGGGAACAGATTGGATTTGTCTTCAGTGTGGAAGGGATGGTCACTCTCGAATTGGCCTCCTCAGCCACACTAGACGCTGTTCTAAGCCCTCCATACAGAGCTCTTTAGCATAGTCGCTCGAGACTGAAGGATGCCTAACTAACAAACTGAATAAATAAAGCTACTCCTGGCCAGCACAGCTAATGATGAAGGCTCTTGGAAGTTTTAGTCCAAAAACATCTGGGGACCCAAGGTTGGGAATCATTGAGGAACATGATGACACTTTCCTCTCACTGAAATAAACATGCTATTTATCAACATTTTTTCCATCCTTTCCTGGCCCCCGAAAAGGTGTACAGGAATGCAAAAAATGTTCTCAAATCCAGTGCCCTCTTTGAGTTTATCTCCACATTCAGTCTCTTTCACAAACCATATTTTTAATATCCCGCTCCTCCCATAGTTCTCAGAAGCACAACTGAATAAACTGAAACATTAGTCTTTTTAGCTCAGAATTATTTGCTCTGTGTAATAGCAGTTGCCCAGGTCTCTAAGAAGAGGCCTGTTTTCTAGCAACACTGTTTAAAAATGGTTCTGTTGAATACAACAAAGGATATCTTGTGGAACATATACATTTTGAACAGGTCTAACTGTAATGAAATACCTGGGGGGAGGGGGAGAGAAATGCTCTTTTTGGTGTATGATTCCACAACAAAGGATATCTTGTGGAACATACACATTTTGAACAGGTCTAACTGTAACGAAATACCTGGGGGGGGGAGAAATGCTCTTTTTGGTGTATGATTCCAAGGTTTCCACAGTCTACTGCCATGATTCTTGGAGATGCAATCCAAAAAAGTAAGGTCATAACAGTAAGAGTACCAAATCTGGCCAATTTAAACTAGACTTCTGTGCTAGTGTTCCTTTGTTATAATCTTGCGCTCTTGAGAGAGAAGCTGGGAATGAGCGCCTCTGAAATATTAATAATTCCTAATAGGTCTTTGTCACATGAGGCTTGCTTTGTGATGATACTCCTCCTCCCCACTCCTGAAAATGAGGGAGTTAATTGAATCAATGAAGTGAACAGCACAGCCATCCAGCATATGCTGACTTCCCTATCAGCCCCAGTCATTACTGGAGGACCCTTCGTCACTCATCATTGCTTGATTACACCACTTGGCCTGCGAGGGGATTTGATGGGAAGTATCCAATGAGGGCCCAAGCTGTTCCCAAAGCCAGCTTTGCAGAGTTTCAGATAAAAGGGAGAGATTCCATTAAGGCAGGAAAGGTTGGGACAAGAGGCATTACAGCAAATCTGGACAGAGGTAAGGTGATAGTTTTCTCTGAGGCTTAGAAAACAGATGGGCCCCCAGGAGATTCTGCAAATGGGTAACCCAAGAGCTGTTCTATTATAGGAATATGGCTTGGCTTGGGCAGAGGGTCAGCATATAAGTTTCTTTGGATTTGACAGCCAAGAAGAGAGACTTGTAGAATGCAGTACCGTAAGAAGTTAGGGAGCCTGCCTTTGTTTAAGCCTGGCACTGATTTAGTCATACTTCTAGCAGACAGATTGAGCTCTTGGTCCTACCTCAATAATTTTGTCTGTGTCTAGTATTTAACCTTGGTTACAGGAGAGCTGCATGCTTGTGAATGAGGTGGGTGCACTGATTCTGTCCCCTCCTGCCCTCCTCCGAGGTTTTCTGCAGGATGATTGCTTTTTTGATCTGACAAGAGTTTGCTATTCTCAGCTCCCAAGGAGACAGGGAACGGCAGGCGGCTGAGCTAATGTAGCGAAATGATGGCAGATAATGCACAGGGATGTGGTTGCCAGCCATGCGCACAGGTGTTAAAGGGACAGCTGCAGAATAAGAGAGCCCTAAAAGGAGACCAAAGTGAGTTTTTGAACGTACATGATGACAGGCTCAACAATGTGGAGGTTTCTTTTATTTTTTATCTCCTTGTTCTTTTGTGAACCTAGCCGAAACCTCAGCACATCTCAGAGTTAAATCTTCTCTATCAGCCTTGCAGTTGAGAACAGTGTGAGTAGTGGCAGCTGTTAGGAAGTATGGCCTGTATGATGCTGCTTTGGGGAATGAGATCTGGTTCCTCTGTAAGGGAAAATTTATGGTGAAAGGGCAGAGTGGAGAATTTAGAAGCTGGCAAAAATAGCTGGCTTGTTTATTATGGCACGTAAGTAAACGAGCAAAAAAAGGCATGCTAATGAAAGGTCAGCCTGGAACCAGAACTAAACCCTGGGGATGGTGTGTTGTTTAAATTGATGAAATGGAATGTAAATAATCACTATTTTTATGTACAATGCACATGTGTCATTTCTTGGTGTAAAACATAGCATTAAAACCTGAAGGTACAACCTGGTTTTCACAAATAGTAGGTAAGATGGTAAGCACGTAACTAGATGGTGCCATTTCAGAAGTAGAGTGCTCCTCCCTGGTTGGTTGGGTTTTTTTTAATTGCTAATGGAAAACTCTCAGCAAGCAGTATCTTAACCTACCTCCCCTTCCCTGACATGCTGACTTTCTGTGTCCAGGGAAATTTCTTCATGAAGATTACCTCTCGCAACCAGTTTGGAATGGTAACAGGACACAGCTAGGTTTACCACTTCATCTGTTGTTGTTGTTTTTTTTTAACGAAACTTGAAGATTGTTTCTGTCTATTTACTGTATAAAACAGATCTCATGGGTGTTTATTCATAGTACAAAGATGTGGTTCATTGTACTGATGGGGAAAAGTGGAATTAATTCAAGGAGTGATAAACTGAAATAAGCTCCTGCAGTGAGAAATGCAGCAAATAACTCATTTCAGACATGCCTTCTAATATTAGCCTGTCTCTTAGGAGCAAATAAGAACAATATCTGATCAGAAACATACAAAACCTTTATAACTGTATGTCCTGTACAAAAACTGGAAAAGTATAGTGCATAATATTTAGGTCTGTATAAGTCACAAAAGTGAAAGCAACTACAATACACTTAATTTCTCTTTTGATTGTATTGGCTTATCCTAGTTTTATCCTTTGACTTTTTTCTGAACTGACACAAGCTTCTCCTTTCCCTTTCCCAACAGGTATCCATGAAAGAGGTTGGCGACGGTCTGCACGAACAGATGAACTGCATGATGGGTGCTCTGCAAGAGCTGAAACTTCTCCAGGTCCAGACAGCTTTGGAACAGCTGGAGATTTCAAGCAACCCGAACCAGGTTTCAGGACTTGGCTGCCATCAGTATTGTCAAAACAACAAGGAGGTGCCAAGGACAAGGCGTGAAGCCAGCAGGCAGAGTGAGAAACTGATGGGAAATGGTTATTTGGACGACTGCAGTTCTTCAGGCTTTTTGTGTTCTACTCAGGTGTCACAGTCTCCCAGCCCCCTTTACCACATTACCTTACCGGACAGTAGCCATGGGCACACAGCATCATCCCTTAACAGTGTTGGTAGTGAAGAGTACTACCATGCCAGTGGACCTTCATCAACTGGGAGCACAGCTGAGTACCATTCCCCAAGGACATTTATGTCATCCAGCGAGCTCATGTCTAGGAGCTGGTTTTCCCAAGACACAAGCAGCTTGTCTGAGAGCAAATCAGATTGCAGGGAGTGCAGTTTCTCCGATGAGACCAATGACTGGACTTCCTCACTAATGTCTCAAAGCAGGAATCGACAGCCTCTTGTCTTGGGCGACAACATCTTTGCTGATTTAGTGGGCAACTGGTTGGATTTGCCTGAGATTGACAAAAAGGGAGAGCAGAATGAGGCATCCCTGCCAAGCAGCAAATCCCAGGAGTTTTACAGAAAGTTTTCCCTCACAGCCAACATCTTCAAGAAGTTCTTAAGGAGCGTCCGGCCGGACCGAGACAGGTTGCTCAAGGAGAAGCCTTGCTGGCTGCCAGCAGAAAATTCAGAGGCCGAAATCTTAAAGAGGCCCAAAAAAGTAAACAAACAGAAGGGGACCTTTTACTTCCCAGTCCATGGGAATATACCAAACTCTCATGACAAAGCAGAAAGGTGCCAAAAGAAGGAAACAGGCAAGGCCAAAGCCAAACACTCTGCTAAGAAGATCCACAGCACAATAGAGCATACACAGCCAGGGTTTGATTTTAACACAGCTGTGTGGGTCTGAAGTGGAAGACTCATTGCTTCATTTGCCAAAATTCTTCTGTCCCATATGAGAGGGAAACTAGTGAGAGTGGTGAAAGAGATAAATCTGTCATACATAGAGTGGGGTAAGGAAAATGAGAAGAAGATGCATCTTCATGAAACATTTGTGTGGAAAAAACGAATCATTTCCACAAAGACATTTTGTGTAACCACACATATTTGATAAATGGAGTCCAAGTATATGCAAAGGTTATCCAAAACTACTGCTTGTCCTTCGCAGTTTGGGAGCTTGAGTTAACCTCTGTCTTCAAGACTGCCAAACATATTCAGTTTATCTATACTGTAATTGAGAGATGGGGAAAATTATTTTTCCTTCCTTCCTGCACTGCAGCCCCCAGAATATCACTGCATGGTCAGGAGTTGTATTCCAAGAAAAAAAAGAGAGACCTCTTTAAACTTTTCCTCATCTCTGCTCAGTTCAGGTAGAAACAGAATGTTAGGTCTGTGTGTGCGTGCGTGTGTGTTTGTTATTATTATTTTAACTCTGCTTTTGCTTGTGTGCACTAAATCCTGGTTTACACACCAGACAAATGAAGCACTTAGTAATTAAGAGTGAGGCATGAATCTGTAAGAATAGACAGACTGTGTGACTTGAACAATGACTGAGTGAAGTTGGTACAGCTGATCATCACATTGCATTTTGACTGTGTTTCTTTTTGTAAAGTGTTATTTCCAGTTCACCCCTCATGATCTTAACTATACTAGAATGTGTATAAACAGTGTGAGGTAGTAACTAGCCATCCAATCGCAGCTGTTAAGATTAGCTGACATTTTTCACCTCTTCATTTTGCCCTCAAAGCCTTAAACTCTTGATGCCACACGGATGTCCCCATGTTGCAATAGATCTTTTCCTGGTTTTGTGGTTTCCTTTTGCATTTCTTAATGTCTATGAATCTAGTCCTGTGAGAATTAGTTTTCCCACAGTCAGCTCTCCCAAGAGTTTGTTAATAAAGCGATGTTCCTCTCTCTGTATATGGTTCCCTGGTACTATTTGTACATTGTGAGAAACTTGTGGAATACTCTCAAAATGCAACATTGGCAGAGTAGTTGTGCCTGCTCTCTGTCTGTCTGTCTCTCTCTCTCTCTCACACACACACACACATTACACACATACACACACACACACACACACATCACACACACACACACACACACTACACACACACACACACACACACCGTGCATGGGGACACAATACACATTTCTTTGCATTCATGTGAATAACTTCACAAAGAATAGAGCTCATTTTTTTTAATTTGATGCAGCAGTTCAACAGGTTTCTTTAACTTCCCACGACGTATTTTCAAACCTGATGACATCTGTCACAGCAAATTGCTTTTCTGGATTAGGATTTCCAGAATCCCTGGAACATCCTAGCAAGGTGGCTGGAGGGTTCTGTGAGTTGTACTTGTAAGAACGACATCAGCAACTTTGTCACACTCCTGCAGTACTCACTGAAGAGGGAAACAGAAGAACTGTTAACCCGTGCTAATGCAATGATAACCTGAAGCTTTTGAAATTTGAGGAGTGTGGTGATGTTATGGTGTGGTATCCAAATGCCACAGCTCATGTCAGGAGCAGCCTACACTTTGGAGATGTTCCAAGAGACAGTGTCTTCAGTCTTAGCAGGTTAGAGACCAGCCAGAGCTCTTTCAGGGCTCTGGCCATAAGAAGCCGCTCATGAGGTCTTACTATTTAAGAAGACACTCATGAGGCTTGGTTTTGTGGAAATATTCCCTGATATTGACACTGATCAGTAATAGATTTATATTTGGGTAAAGAATTAATACTGGAAGAGCTGTGTTACCCTTCATGCCATGAGGTCTGTGTGGCATATGGGACCTCTTATGTGTTTGGAGCCGCCCCTCCCCTTTCATTGCAGTAGGAGGAGCAATTCTGAATTGGCAAAAGAAAAGCATGTGTGGTTTTGCTAAACGACTTACACTGGCATAATTCAGGGAAGGGAGAGCTGTGTATATGCATTCAGTCTCTGCTGCCAGAACAAAATGGACTAAAAAAGAACACAGATCTTTGCTTTCCCCTGAATAAAGTAATATACCCAGGAATGCTACGTGAGAGTGGGTAGACCAGACTTTTCAGTGACTAATTCTGCAACAATAGTTCATTCAACTCACACATCTTCAGATTGTGCACCAAAACATGTGCCTACATTTTAAGTTCTTTTATACCTTGTTTTTCTTTAACAGAGCAGGACTGGCTTGCTACACTGTTTTCAGCTTTGATAAGCAGCGGGAGAAGCAGAAACGTAGAAATACCCATTTTGGCTCTGTGTAATGCAATGATATTCCTATTTCAGTTCCTTAAAATAAACAGGAGAGTTGAAGGAGCCATCCAGAGACTATATCTGAATTTCCCCACACACACTGCAAATGAATTATACATAGACATGAGGCAAGCACTGTTTTTTTGCCCTTACAAGGAATTAGAAGCTGGTAAAGGATCTACTATGGGCATAGGAAAGTGTGCACTTTCTCTTTGTTCCAGAAACTGGAAGCCCTTTTTTGTTCTCTCTCATTTCCCATCTAAGGCAATCACATCCTTTGAGACAGTATGTGATCCCACCCCATCCTCTTCGCCCTACCTGTTAACTGTGATTTCAGGCCAAATAGAAGCTGCACGCTTAGAGTCCTCTTACTGGGTGCAAGTAGTTTATACAAAGGTATTAGGCTAGTTCATGGGTTCATGGAAAGATAGCATGGATAGTCATTAACTCAGGGTGAGCATATAGATCTCATGGAAGTTCCTTTATTTGTTCCCTCTGCTGTGCTTTCACTGATTAACTCCACAATGTCTGGTCCCTGCAGGTCCTGCTAATGCTAGTCCTGCCACCAATCTGCTTTCACTGATTAACTCCACAATGGTCCTGCTAATGCTAGTCCTGCCACCAATGATCCCAACCCCATCTGCTAGTTGTCCACTTTCCCTCTAAGTGTCTGCTACAAGGGGACATAGCTGTTCTCTAGCAACAGCTGTCAGGGTCTGGCTTCTGAATGCTCCTCCTTGAACGTAAAGAGCTCAGGCTCAAGCTTAACATAGCCAGAAGATAGTTATGATCTTGGGGTGTAAATATTCACCCCAAATTATCAAAGGACACAGGGACTCGAGGAATGTCTTAGGATCCTCTTGTTGTGTACAGTATCTTAAATCCCCCAAATCACTGATTTCAAGCCCTCAAAGGATACAGGGGCTTGAGGAATGACTTAGGAACCTCTTCTTGTTGTGTACAGTATCTGAAATCCCCCAAATCACTGATTTCAAGCCCCCACTGATTTCAGTCATAGTGGGTATTCTGTGTGCATGCATGTATGTTTATATGTTTGTGCATTATACTAATGTATACATGTATCTGCAAAGACATATGGGTACCCATGTGTGTGCAGTACTAAATCTCTATGAAAACTTCACATGCAACCACATAGAAAAAAGGCTGTGCACTCCTTAACAGAATATGCAGGAAACATCAAAGGACATGTATCCCCATACAAATTCATGGATTTTGAGACATGAAGAAGGATGACCTTATGACAAAGGGTAATGCAACTGTACAGTATTATACATGGTAAGTATATCTGTACATTACATGTACAGTAGTACGTAAAATACATTATGAGACTATTCCCTTGCCACATACAGGCTTTTTGTCCTTTTTTATAAACTCCATTACCCAGCCAGGCCTGCTTACATGCAGCCGAAAGAAACCCACCAGGATTTATAAATAAGGTAATGCGAACTGATTTTGCCATGACACATGGCTCTTTGCAAATAGGTTAAGTCCCCAATACAACAGCTGTCAACAGGGCTGTTTCCCTGCTGTCTGACAAGGAAGCCAACTGGAACTTCTCTTGAGAAAAAGACCTTTGGCCCCGCCTGCCTTCCCCCTGACAGCTGTGCAAAAGACATCAGAACACTGTCCCTTTTATATGATCTTGGGAAGCAGTGGGGGTGGGTGAGGTGTTTGGAATATTAGATAAAGGATTGCAAATGGGAATTCTATCCTGCAACATATTACAGTTCAGAGGCCCATAGGATATCCAAATGGATGGCATTTCCCTTGGTTATGGGAACACATTAAAAGCTTCTAAGGGGAAGAGAAGTTCACGGCCTCCTGCATGTCTCCATTAAGACTGCACAAAACTTGGTACTGTACAAACGGAAGCACTCCCACACCCGTTGGCTGGGTGAGAAATTCTGTTAACTAGGATTTTCTGAAGTGCGTTGGTGGTCTGCCTGTAATCTGCTAGGACCTAGTGATTTCTCTGATCCTTTTATGTTGCTTTTATTATGTCCCACAGTCAGAATTTGTCCTTAGAAATACCTTCCCAAAGCCTTGCACCACTGACATCAGAAACACACCAGAACAGTCATGTTTAGCCTTTTCTTTCCCAGGGATCCCCTTTAAATATCTTTTGATGGACCATAAAGACTTTACTCAAGATATTAAGCCCTAAAGAGCATCAAATATTTATTTAAAGTTTCTGATGAAGGGTCTCATTGAAAGATATTCCTTGCTATAAAAGTGACCCTTTTTAAGATGACTGGAAGGAGCTTCATTTTGCTTTGAACAGGATGCACCCTCATCAACAGCATCAGTTCTTTACATTTCAGATTCAGCCAGTGATCCATTCTGAAACTCAGCCAAAATGTATTGTTATGAAATTTACTGTGATAATATCAGGATGTCACTTGATCTGACAATAATCAAGTGGTTTATTGACAGAAATCTAGGAAGAAACAAGATCAGGAAGTCCATCCAAACTGACACTGACTGACTCCGACTCTCCCCACGGCTTTTGGCTGTACAGTAGCAAGAAATGTCACGTGCTGTCTCTCAGCCACTCAGTTTCATTCACTTGCATGTTCTCACAGTGTCCAGAAATATCAGTTATTTTCATAATCGATTTGTACTTTTCTTTGTTTTGAATGGAGGCAGTAGGTTAGAAAAGCCAAGTTTTACACAAATAAGCAAAGGAAATGAAGATTTTGTTCTAAATTTCCTTTCCTTTTTTTTCTTTCTAACTGCAAAAGATCATAACATTTCTTCAAGCCTTCATAGATCCCATGTGAGAATATTGCGGCCCCCTGGGGATCTGCAGACCACAGGTTAAGAATCTATGGACTAGAACACAATGTTTGACTCACTGCTGACTAACCATTCTCAGGAAACAACTGGCAACACAAGAACACAAGAAACAAGCACAAGTGTTCAAGGGAGAAGGGGATACACAGTCAGTTGAAGTTGAGGGAATTTCTAGCTTTATGAAGGGAAATGGCCTTCTCCTGCATTAAAAAATACAGTCACCTTCAGCTTAATGTCAAACTATATGTTAAAGAACTTGTACATTCTCTGCAACAAGCCCATCTTGTCCCCCATGCAGCCTCAGAGATAAATGCCTCAGCTATCAGGTTTGCAAATTAAGCCTATGTTTACCTTGCAGTGACCAATCAAAAAACAAAGCTTGCTGGAGAAGAGAAACATGTAGCAAATATACATCTTTCACTACTTAAAGAAGAATCATTTCTTAAATGTTGCTAATCATATTAATTGTGTCATTTAATTTAATCTTAAGGAACTCCTAAGATTAGCTAAAGTTCCAATTCCACTGATTTTTAAGTGTCTGAATTAGTCAATGTTACATTGATCAGCATTGCATTGATGTTGAAGCAGAAGATTTCCAGCTCAGAAGTGGGTCAAGATAGTGACTTAATCACTTTTTTTCCTGGCTTCTTTGATTTTGCTTCCAACAAGGAAACAAACAAACAAAGAAACAAACAATAAAAGAGGAAGAGCCAACACACAAAGGGACAAAAGCTGTTTTTAAAGAGTTATGTCAGAGAATCTTGGCAGCTGCAGCTTGTTACATGAGGATGATAAATCCTGTACAGTACCTACATATAAGTGGATCATCTTCCCATGGCTGCATGTGGAAGAATATTTTAGGGGTA